AGATTACTTTTTTTTTTTTCCTCTTCTTTTTACTTCTGGTTGAGCTCTGATCATCCAGTCACTGAAGCCAGGATAAGTGGGTATTATCTGCAACTGTGGTGTTCTTGTGCATATGCCCTCTCTTCTTATCAGATGGACAGTTATTTCTTGTATGAGCAACTTTGCCAGGCTTTCTGTGGACATGGGCCATTCTTCTGTAGGTGGAGTCAGTGTCTCTCATTAGAATAAAGGTAAACAGACTCAACCCAATTATAAATGGAAAAGAAATGTGTGCCCTCAGTCACTGAGGGCCACAGAGGGTGACGGCTGGAGAATTCAGACGCAGTGAAGGGACGAGCTGAAACATGAGTTCTAAGTCAAAATCCGTAGGGGTCATTGGAGCTCCTTTCTCAAAGGGACAGGTGAGTAAAAGACCAGACTCTTCAAAACTAGAATTTATCTGAAAAGTTCGTACTTAACAATTACTAAGGTGTTTTTTCTTATTAGTTTAGTTTCCTGATGTAATTTGGTTCTGGAGAAAAAAATTAAAGTCTTTTGTTTTTAATCATATTACAACATTGTACAATTATGGTCACAAATCCATTTATTCATATGGCCCCTAATCTCAACTAACTCTAATTTTATTTAAATCTTACAAATACTTTCTTACATATTTTTAAAGAGGATGCATTTTCATTTGAGTTGAAATGGACTCCTTCCTCATTGCAGGTACTTATTTAGAGTTTGTTGCACTTGTTGCCTTTTGATGGTCTTGTGTTTGGGTAAAGGGAGAGAGAATTTTAAGAAAATACGTTTAGTTACGTAATTCATGTCTGGAGAATTTTCAAACATTGGAGGCAACTTTCAGGCTTCTGTTAACTTGGATAAGCTAAATAGTATTGCTTCAAACAGCTCTGTGAATTATTGATATGATGGGGCTTCAAAAAGTTATTGGAAAAGTTCCATGATCTTTTTAAATTACATTTTCCATGAACTCTTTGAAGCTCCTTGTGTTGTTTTAAGGTTTTAGCGATTGCATAAAACTAGTTTGTAGACAAGTTAGGGTCCTCTATCTGCCTTTCTGAGGGTAAAAAGAAAAAGAATGACAATTCTATGGCAAGTTGACAACATTCAAAGGAGGAATAGATATGAAACTCACAGATTCACCTGACTGGGAATCAAACCCATGCCAGCAGATTTAAATACGTGGTCTTTTTCTTTTCTTTTCTTTTTGTCTGCCTGAACACACTCACTCTGAATTAATGTAAAGGAATTAAAAACCACCAACAACAACACATAAATCATTAGATATCAATGTTGACCTGCACTAAAATGGGAACGAAATGAGTACATATTTATTACAAACAGAAGACAGTTTGTGAATTGAAACTTAAAAGATGGTTTTTTGTAGTTGTGTTTTAATGGTGTGCTCTCTGGGTTTCTCAGAATTCTCTTTGCCCACCAGAGCAGCGTTTTGCCCCTCTTAGTTTTAAACTCTTGTTTTCCACTCTGACTTTTGATTGCAAAACAAATGGGTAGAGGGCAGAGGTTAGAGATCCAAACTGCATAAGGCTCAGTCAACAGTGCCTCGTTCCTTCAAAGGTCTCTTTCAGAACACACAGACATTTTGCTGACACCAAAGTGTGTCTTTCAATGCTGGAGTTAACTGAAAAAACGACAATAACCTCACCTATTCTAAGGAGCTCTGGTAGCGTAGTGGTTACGAATCAGGCTGTGAACCGCAAGGTCAACAGTTCGAAACTACCAGCGGTTCCGTGGGAGAAAGATGAGGCGTTCTGCTCCCGTAAAGATTTACAGCCTCGGAAACCCTGTGCAGGGTCGCTATGAGTCGGAACCGACTCCACGGCACTTAACAACAACAACAACATTCTTGAAGCAGGTTATAACAATGATAGAATTGAAATACTTGTCAGCAATTATAAAAGAAGGCATATAAGTAATTGACATAAAGAAGATGGGAAGAGCAGTGTGAAGAAGAGGGGAGAACGACCCCCGGATCTACCACAGCCCGCGTGTAGCCGCATCCCTGTGTCCAGCGCCTGCGCCCTGCCGCTGAAGCCATGCCCAAGAGAAAGGTTGAAGGGGATGCTAAGGGAGATAAAGCCAAGGTGAAGGATGAACCTCAGAGGAGATCCGCAAGGTTATCTATCTGCTAAACCTGCTCCTCCAAAACCAGAACCTAAGCCTAAAAAGGCCCCTGCAAAGAAGGGAGAGAAGGTACCCAAAGGGAAAAAGGGGAAAGCTGATGCTGGCCAGGATGGAAATAACCCTGCAGAAAATGGAGATGTCAAAACAGACCAGGCACAGAAAGCTGAAGTGCTGGGGATGCCAAGTGAAGTGTGTGCATTTTTGATAATTGTGGACTTCTGGTGGCTGTACAGTTTGAAATACTATTTTTTAATCAAGTTTTATAAAAATGTAGACTTTTGTTTTACTTTTTTTTTTTTTTTAAGCTATGTTGTTAGCACACAAAACGCTTCATTGTTTTTGGGGAAAGGGGCAAATGCACTAATACAGTGTCTCCAAAGCTGGACTGATGTGGAAGCAAACACCTTTCCCATCTAGTTTTGAGAGACTCCCTCTTGGTTCCCAGGAGGAGGGATTCCCTGATGTTAACACACATTAGCCACCTTGGCGCACAAATGCCGTGTGGTGTGGAAAAAGTACAATTTGTTTTTACATCTTTATATCCTCTTCTCCCTCTTTGCCTTCAGCATAGACTTGACTCCCATAAACCCAGAGGCCTGTTGGGACCTGACCTCAGAGAACTGGTTATTCATGTGTCAGGGAACCTGGACTTTCCAGTGGTGTCTACTCAGTGGCACCCTCAAAAGAGCAGCGGTCGCTTTGTTGAGATTGTGGGTCTTCAGATTGGTAATTCTGCCTTTTTCATTTCATTTTCTGAAAGTCAGGGTCGGCTCATGGAAAGTTGTTAAACAACATGCTAAATGTGAAATGTCAACCCTCACTCTAAACTTTCCCTGTTCAGACCATCAGATGAAGACTTCATTGGGATTTATAGTGGCTTTCTGATTTCGGTAGTCCGTCTAAGAAGGGAGTTTGAAAGTTGTTGTATACTGTTAACAATTGTCTGCCCACATCCTGCCTGAATACCATGATTGCTTATGAAAATATCTTTAATAAAGCTGGATACAGTTTGACTTGGAAAAAAAAAAAAAGAAGAAGAAGAAGAAGATGGGAAGACAGGGAGTGAAGGAATAGATGGAACAGGCTCTGGTCCCTGTACCTCACTCAAGGCCTAATGCTGACAACAAGTCACTGCTGTTGTCGTTGCTAGCTACTACTGAGTCAGTCCTCTGACTCATGGTGACCCTATAGATTGTTGTTGTTGTTAACTGCTGTTGAGTCAATTCCGACCCATAGCCACCCTGTATAGGGTTTCCAAGGAGCAGCTGCTGAGCTTGAACCACCCACCTTTCAGTTCAAATGACTTTGCAGTCTGACGCATTAGTCCACAGCACCACACCAGGACTCCATATTATATTGTTGTTGTTAGGTGCCATCGAGTCAGAACCGACTCATAGTGACCCCATGCACAGCAGAATGAAACAATGTCAGATCCTGGGCCAACCTCACTACCGCTGCCACACTTGACGCCATCAATGCTGCCACCTGGCCAATCCATCTTGTTGGGGGTCTTCCTCTTTTTCTCTGACCCTCCATCTTACCAAGCATGATATCCTTCTCCAGCGACTGTTCCCTCCTGACAGCATGTCCAAAGTATGAGAGATGAAGTTTGGCCATCTTGGCCTCTAAGGAGCACTCTGGCTGCACTTCTTCCAAAACAGATCTACTAGTTCTTTTGGCAGCCCATGGCACTTATAGTATTCTCCTCCAACACCATAATTCAAAGGCATTGATTCTTCTAGGATCTTCCTTATTCACCATCCAGCTTTCACATCCATATGAGGTTATTGAAAATACCATGGCTTGGGTCAGGTGTACCTTAGTCCTCAAGCTGACATCTCTGCTCTTCAACACTTTAAAAAGTTCCTGTGCAGCAGATTTGTCTAATGCAATACGTCGTCTGATCTCTTGATCTGACTATATTATATGTTGTTGTTGTTATGTGCCATGGACTCAGTTCTGACTCATAGTGACCCTGTACAGGGTTTCCAAGGCTGTAAATCTTTATGGGAGCAGAAAGCCTCATCTTTCTCCTGTGGAACAGCTGGTAGTTTCGAACTGCTGACCTTGCAGTTTGCAGCCCAATTCGTAACCACTACGCTACCAGAGCAGACATTATTATATAGTGGAATATAATTCTGTTCATGATGGGAATTGGATTACACCATTGTGATGACCTCATCTCTGGGTTTCTGTTGACTGATTTTTGCCAGACTCTTCTTCCTAGTCCATCTTAGTCTGAAAGTTGCTGAAACCCATTCAGCGTCAGCAACACACAACCCTCCACTGATAGACGGTGGTGGCTATGCATGAGGTGTATTGTCTGGGAATTGAATCTGGGTCTCCCACATGGAAGGTGAGAATTCTACCACAGAACTATCACTACCCTCTAACTGCTGCTGTGAACCAGTTGCTCTTACGTCAATTACGACGCATGGTGAGTCCACATGTTTCGGAGTAGAACTACACTCCATGGTTTCCAATGGCTGTGACCTCTTGGTAGTACAAGTTGTTGTTGTTGTTAAGTGCCTTCAAGTCAGTTCTGACCCATAGTGACCCTGTATAGGATTTCCAAGGAACAGCTGGTGAGCTTGAACTGCTGACTTTGCGGTTCAAAGCAACTTTGCAGTCCAGTGCATTAAACCACAGTTCCAATTTTCCTCTAAGGCACCTCTAAGTGGATTCAAACCGTGAACTTTTTAGCTAGTAGCTGGGCACTTAACTATTTGTGCCTTCCAGGTACTCTTAAAAGTCACTGTAGGGGGAGACTAGGGAAAAAGGCCTAGCAATTTACTTCCAAAAACCAAGCAATGAGCCTTATGGATTACAACAGCCCAATCTGCAACTGACCATGGGTTATCATTAAAGAGAGCAGTGTTTCATTTCCTTGTGCATGGGGTCTCCATGAGTTGGAGGCTGACACAGCGGCCGCTAACAATAACAACACACACTTCAAGAACTTTGGATTGTAATCTAATAATGGAAAACAAAAACCAAGTGTAGCATAGGAGCCAAAGCAGCACTCTATGTACATGGGAGAAAGAGAGATGCTTGTGGCAAAATGGAATAAAGAATAAAGGTGAAAGGGAGAGTAAGTGGGAATCCTTTGCCATCATGGAGGGAATTTGGTATTGAAGCTTTGCTGGACACCCAGGCATTGAAGTTGAAAAGAAAGTTTAGTTGAATATAATATCCCCAGTCTTAGGGAGACATGCGTGTGTCTTTGGACACATCTTCTCATCTACGAAATGCAAGTAACTTTCTGTATCTAAAAGCTTTGTTGGAAATGAGAAACAGAAAGATACATAGAAGAACTGCTTCTTTAGACCTCTATTCAATCCGGAGACTGGAGAAGACTTTCTGTCAGCAGGACGTGTTAGTTTTCTTAACACAAAACAACAAAGGTAGACATTTCTCCTTGACTATCTTGAGCAACTTGAAACTTGAATTCACTGGGTTGTTGTTTGGTTTGGGGTCCAGTTCATTGTTGTCCATTTCTTAGATTTACTGCCCTGTTAACCTGCACACAGACCCCTTCCAAGGCACCCTCTTTTTCATTTTATGCCTTTGCCCAAACTATTCCTTGGTTCACAATTTTTTTCCATCCTGCCCTCCTATTTTTCTGGTCACCTCCTCTTGTTGTAAGACTCAGCTCCCATGCCACCTCCTCCTGCAGTCTTCCCTGACACAGCCCGGCCTGTCAGTGGGAAACAGGCTGCTTTTGTTGCCATGGTATCCTGTATCTGCACAGAAGCAACTATCAGCATATCCCAATTTCCCTTAAATGCCCAAATCCTCTATTTGCTTATGCATTAATCAAACAAAGATAGAAGTCCACACATTTTCATCTTTATATCTCCATTTATCACAAAATAAGGACCCCTGGTGGTGCTGTGGATTAAGCTTGAGTTGCTAGCCATAAGATAGGAGTTCAAAGCACCTGTACCATGGAAAAAAGATGAATTTGACGGCTCCTCCAAAGATTTCATCTCAGAAACCCTATACTATAAGTCAGAATCAGCTCAATGGTCGTGAATTTGATTTGCACACAGTATGTGTTTACTATATTGATAGTGAGCCTTGGACTTCTAACTTCAAGGTTGGCAGTTCAAATCCACCAGCTAGCTGCTTTTGAAAATCGTATACAGTCACTATATGTCAGAACTGACCTGACAGCACATAACAGCACAATGGGAGTCTTGGTGTGGTGTTGTAGTATAAGCACTGGACTGCTCACATCAAGGTCAGTGATTCCAACCCTCCTCAGGAAGCCGATACAAGTTCATCATGAGTTGGAACTAACTCCATGCACTTAACAAAAATAACATATTGATAATGATGAAGATCAAACAGCAGTCTTCGGTATGGATTACATCTCAATGTAAAGAAAACAAAAATCCTCACCACTTGGCCAATAAACAACATTCTTATCAATGGAGAAAAGACTGAAGTTGTCAAAGACTTCTTCTTGCATCAACCTTCGTGGAAGCAGTATTTAAGAAATCAAATGATGTATTGCTTTAGACAAATCTGCTGCACAAGACCTTTTTAAAGTGTTGAAGAGCAAAGATGTCAGCTTGAGGACTAAGCACCTGACCCAAGCCATGGTATTTTCAATAACCTCATATGCATGTGAAAACTGGACAGTGAATAAGGAAGACCATAGAAGAATTGACACATTTGAGTTATGGTGTTGGAGGAGAATATTAAAAGTGCCATGGGCTGCCAAAAGAACAAACACATCTGTTTTGGAAGAAGTGCAGCCAGAGTGCTACTTGTAGGCCAGGATGGACAAACTTTGTCTCTCATACTTTGGACATATTGTCAGGAGGGTCGCTGGAGAAGGGTATCATGTTTGGTAAGGTGGAGGGTCAGAGAAAAAGAGGAAGACCTCCAGAGAGATGGATTGGCAAAGTGGCAGCATCCATGGGCTCAAGTGTGGCAATAATTGAGGTTGGTCCAGGATCGATCGGGCACTTCTGTTCTGTTGTGCATAATAAGGTCGTTATGAGTTGTTACCAACTCGATGGTACCTAATAACAACAATGAGGAGCTCTGATGGCACAATACTTAAGTGCTCAGCTGCTAACCAAAAGGTTGCTGGTTCACACCCACCCAGCATTTGGAGGGAGAAAGACTTGGCAATCTGATCCAGTAATGATTACATCCTAAAAAACCTTGGAAAAGTGCACTTTTGTCAAAACTGACTTGGCAGTGTGGCACTGTGGACTGCAAAGTCGTTTGCACTACAAGGTTGGTGGTTCAAGCTCACCAGCTGCTCCTTGGAAATCCTATACAGGGCTCTATGGGTCAGAATTGACTCGACAGCACTTACGACAACAACAACCACAGTAGCATGTTGATAACATGATAAGATGGGAAGAAGGAACGCCAAGTCTAAAGAGCCTGGATGTGAACTTAGGCGAGACTTGTTAGCTGGGTGTTGTCAGAAAAATTACATTAAAAAAATTACATAGGTCTTTATGATTGATATGTTGTTGTTGTTGTTATGTGCCGTGGAGTCGGTTCCGACTCATAGCGACCCTGTACAGGGTTTCCAAGGCTGTAAATCTTTACGGGAGCAGAATGCCTCATCTTTCTCCCGCAGAACAGCTGGTAGTTTCGAACTGCTGACCTTGCGGTTCACAGCCCAATTCATAACCATTACACTACTAGAGCTCCTTTATGATTGATACAGGAGTAAGTAATTCAATCTACTTTGCTGTGAAGATTAAACAAGATCATGTAAATTCCTGGCACTGTAGGAGCTAAAAAAAAATGATAGTGACTATTGAGCTGGTTAAATAATGATAACTCTTTCTATTGTCGATATCTGACAGTCATGATAATGTCTGAATTCTTTTATTGTTTCAATTGTTCAGCCACGAGGAGGGGTGGAAGAAGGTCCTATTGCATTGAGAAAAGCTGGTCTACTTGAGAAACTTCAAGAACAAGGTAAAATTTCAGTTGAAAGAATCAGCTTGATTTCCTCCCCCACTCTGAAGGAAGGAGCAGGGGTTTGCTAAATTCGGTGGATACGGAGTGATATTTATATCACAGAATTGCAGTATTGGTTATAATCTTAGAAACCTATCGTATAAAATAAGCAGCATATGGGGAGAATGCTCAGAAATATTGTTGGATGAATATTCCTTGAGATGAGAACAAATATCCTTACTCTGATACCAGAGGGCTTCAAAAAGTTTGTTTAAACTTTTATGATTTTTTAGTTCATTCTTCCACAAACTTTCTCAAGCCCCCTCATATCTAGTCTTTCAAATCAAACTATTGTATAAGAAAATCAGTGTGTTTAGTGCTGGACTAGGGGTTATAGAAGATGGGAGGGAGTTGGGGGCTTGAAAACAGAAGGTAAGGGCCAGCAGGAAGTATGTTGCCACCAAGCTGTTGCTATTTGCTGACAAGTCAGTTCATGGCCACTCCATATGTGTGCCTGGAACAGCTTTTCAGGGATTTTCGAGGCTGTGGCCTTTCAGAAGCAGATCACCAGGTCTGTCTTCCAAGGCCTCTGAGTGGGTTTGATTGTCAAGCACTTACTCTTTGTGTGTGCCACCTAGGAACACCTACTGTTAGTATGAGGGTCCTTATTTGTGGAAGGAAATTAATCTGCATAGCGTGTGTGTGAGTCTGTATTCTCTCTCTCACACACATATACACAGAGACACACACACATATATAAAGGGCTTCAAAATGGTTGTGGGGAAATGGAATAGAAAAAGAAGGGATTTTTTTTCCATGAACTTTTTGAAGCTCCCTCATACATATGCATAAACTTGCAAATGCAAATTATACATATTTTTAAAGTATAGACTTTAAAATATACCTAAATTAAACAAAACATTCAACAGAGAACAGAAAGCTTGTTTGCATTTATTACAATTTATATGCATTTATATGTATTTCTACATATAAAACCCTAATGAAGGTTGGCAGTTCAAATCCACCAGCTGCTTTGTGGGAGAAAGATTAGACTGTCCGCTCCTGTAAAGATTAACTGCCTTGGAAACCCTGGAGAACAAGTCTACTGTGTTCTACAGGACTACTATGAACTGATATCTACTCAATGGTACTGGAGAGTTTTAAGTTTGGATGAAAGTGTTGGTGAAGATGCAGAAAACTGGAACCATCAGATATTGGTGGTAGAAATGCAAAATGGAAAACACTCTGTCAGATTCTAAAATAGTTACACATGTGTTTTCCCTTTGACCCAGGAGTTCTCCTAAATATTTACCAAAGAGAAGTGAAAGATGTTCACACAAAGACTTGTAGATGTTTGTAGTAGCATTATTTGTAATAGAACAATGAAAGCAAGGAAATGTTCAGCAACTGGCAAACAAAACGTGATACATCTTTAAGATGGGATAGTGTTGTTGTTGTTAAGTGCCATCGAGTTGGTTCCAACTCATAGTGACCCTGTATAGGGTTTCCAAGAAGCAGCTGGAAAATTTCAATCACTGACCTTGCAGGTCAAACCAACCTTGCAGTCCAGTGCATTAACCCACAATGCTACACCAGGCCCCCCAAAATGGGACAGACATAGGTAAGGACACGGATAAATCTCAATCATACTAGGTGAAACTGGCCAGACACAAAAGGCTACCTACTGCATGACTCCATTTGTATGAAGTTATAGAAAAGACAAAATATAGCAGCAACAGAAAGGAAACCAGTGGTAGCCTGGGTCTGGGGTGTGGAACTATTGAGGCTAAAGGAAGTGTTCTACAACTCGATGGTGGTGGTGGTTGCATGACTGTGGTGGCAGTGGTAGTTGTGTGCCGTGGAGTTGGAGATCTTTTTAAAACTCATTGATCTGTACACTTGAAATGGGTACATTTTAATTAATAAAAAGTATACCTAAATAAAACAAAACACTCAATAGAGAACACAAAGCTTGTTTGAATAAATAGATTAATTTCCTCTGTTAACAAACATAATTTGGTAACATTTTATATTAGGTTAAATCTCTTGAATGTGTTACTGAATCATGGAAACATAAATAAATAAAGTCCATAATAAAGAGTCAGTTACCTACAGAACACTGGCCTGACCCCATGTCACCATATTGTATGAAGCTCTGTATTTTCGTATTTTAGGAAACATACCAGGGTTCATAGGAGCATTTTTCTTTCCTATTGAAAAAAACAAACAAACTATAATAATAAAGCCTTCATATCCTGAGCCCTCTTAAGCATTACACTCAAGGCTAGACCCATAGTTTTATTTCAGTCTCATAACACCATGAGGCAGGCATTATGGACAGGTTGGATTAAAACCAAAGTCTGCTTTTAGAGTTGGAACTTTTAGAAAATATTACTGTATTTTATTTGGGGTATAAATACATATTCTTTTCTTAACTATGCATTTATTACAAAAATAAAACATATTTATCACAGAAAATGGAGTCCTGGTGTGGCGTGTAGAATCAGCACTGGACTGCTAACCACAAGGCCGGCATTCAAACCCACGAGCTGCTCTTGGAAACGCTATACAGGGACAACAACATAGAAAACTAGAAAGCACAGATGGGAGAGAGAAAATAAGAGTACGCTACAGGGAGAGAGAGAAGGAGACCAAGAGAGACAATCACTCCTCAGACCTAAATCACATGGAAAGCTGTTACCTCTGAGTGTCTAGCCTAATTTATAGATTCAAGAAGTCTCAGGCACTGTCTGAGGCAGAGGTGGAATGATGGAGGTAAACACACGGTTTCTACTTTCATAGTCTTTCCAGACTTTTTCTTTGCTTATACCTTTAAAGATATATTTATTTTGCATATTGGAATCATCCTACATCTACTGTTTTGTAATCTGCGTTTTTTAAACTTAGTATCCTGAAACTTCTCATTGTAGCATGTGATGTGAAAGATTATGGAGATATGCCCTTTGCTGATGTCCCGAATGACAATCCCTTTCAAAAAGTGAAGAATCCGAGGTCAGTGGGAAAAGCTAACGAGCAGCTGGCTGCTATGGTGTCAGAAGTCAAGAAGACTGGGAGAACCAGCTTGGTCCTCGGTGGAGATCACAGGTCTTGTTTAATGATTGTTTATGGGAATCTGGTACAATAAAGAATAAAGGATAGCCAAGCTCATGAGATTAGAGAAAATATAGAAAGCAAAGAACTGATGGATGTTTTCCAATTTCCACTTATATTCGTTCCAAAGGTCATGTTTTTTGTTTTGTTTTTACCAATTTTTTCCTTAGAATTTTATTGGACACTTTCTTATGGAAGCATACACTTAGCTCTATTTGAAGTTTTTCAGTATCTTTATGTTAACCTATTATGGCATAAAATAAAATGAATATGAATGATTTCAGTAAAATATTCAACACAGATTTGCATCTCTATATAAATAAGCACCAAGAAAATTCATACTGGCTACTGATAACATAAACAGCTTGTTTAGGCTAACAATTACAAAGTCTATTTTCCATGGTGAAATTAGTAATTATAATACAAACTTTTTGAAATTCATATACAGGTATTTAACAGGATATACAAATACCTATATTTAACAGGATATACAAATACCTATAGTTAACAGGATATAACCCTGACACACACCTTTCCTTATTTGAAGGTTATCATTGTGACCTATTTGTGACCCTGTGTATAAGAGAAGGAAACACTGGCTGGTCCTATGTCATCTCCACAAACGTGAACTGTTCTGGATTCACTGCTGCCATCTTTGTGCCAATCCGTCTTGCTGAGGGTCTTCCTCTTTTCGCGGACTCTCTATCAAGCATGATGTTCTTCTTCAGGGATTGGTCAAAATCTTGCCACCCTTGCTTCTGAGAGCATTCTGGTTGTATTTTTTCCAACACAGATTTGGTCATTTTTCTGGCAGCCTATGGTATATTCAATATCCTTCATCAACACCGTAATTTAAATACATCAATTTTCCTTCACTTTTCCTTAGCCATTGTCCACATTTCACATGCATTTAAGGTGACTGAAAATACTATGATTTGGGTCATATAATCCACAGAATCTTTTCCTTTAAAATTTTTTTTTTTTTTTGTAATATATCTTGGCTCTTGAACACTTCTAAAAGGTCTTTTGCAGCAGATTTACACAATGCATTTGATTTCTTGATTGCTACTTCCATGGGCATTGAAGTAAAATAAAATAATGTAAAATACTTTTTCCAAGTAAAATAAAATCATGACAACTTTAATCTTTTCTGTTTATTATGCTGCCTATTGATTGCTTCAGTTGTGAGGATTTTTGTTTTATGTTGAGGTGTAATCCATACTCAAGTCTTTGATCTCCGTCAGTAAGTTCCTCAAGTTTTCGCTTTCAGCAAGCCCAATTATGTCATCTTCATATTGCAGTTTGTTAGTGAGCCTTCCTCCAATCTGGATGCTGAGTCTTTCTTCATATAGTCTAATTTCTCAGTTTATTTGTTCATCATACAGATTGAATAAGTACAGTTAAAGGATATAATCCTGACACACACCTTCCTTATTTTGATCTATGTAACAGACTCTTGTTGTGTCTGAATGACTGTGGACAGGTTCTGCATGAGCACAGAGACGTGTTCGGGAATTCATGCCCTTTACAATCTTATCCATAATTTTCATGATTCCCCACAGTGGAATGTCTTTGTATAGTCAATAAAACACAAGTAAACCTCTTTCTGGTATAATTTGCTTTCAGTCGAGATGCATGTGATATCAGCAATGACACACATCACTCCTTTTCTTTTTCTGCATCTGACTTGAATTTCTGGCAGTTCCCTGCTTATGTACTACTGCAACTATTTTGGAATTATCTTCAACAAAATTTTACTCCTGTGTGATAGCAATTGCCAAAAAAAAAATGAGCAACAAACCAACCTTCCCACAGCGCTCTACTCAGTTGGGTCCTGTAATTCATTACAATGACCACACAGAACCCAGACACCACACGCACAGTTATGTTAACAAGTTATGTATGACTCAGGGTCAGAAATGCTTAGGACACAGTTCTTCTAGTCAGGAAGCTTCTCCTCCGCCATGCCCACAGGCAAGCCTCTCTGTTTGTACAATGTTATAAAATGCTTTTAGAGCTGCTCATAAATGCCCACAGGACACATCATTCCACCATAAGCCTCAGCCTGTAGGCACTCAGGTCCAGCTTCACGGGTGAGCAAACGTAGCACCTAGTAGCACCGCACTCTGCAAGCAAGTCTCCCGCCCAAAGTCACTCAGCTTTATTTGCTCCATGTTGCTGTTTTTGTTAGGTGCTATCGAATTGGTTCGGACTCATATTAACCTTATGCACAACAGAACGAAACACTGTCTGGTCCCGTGACAACCTCATAATCATTACTATGCTTGAATACATTGCTGCTGCCACTGTGCCAATTAATCTCTCTTTTTCACTGACCCTTCACTTTACCCAGCATGAGGTCCTTCTCCAGGGACTGGTCCCTCGTGATATGTCTGAAGTATGAGGGACAATGTCTAGCCATTTTGGCTTCTAAGGAGCATTCCGGTTGTACTGCTTCCAAAACAGATTTGTTTGTTCTTCTGGCAGTCCACTGTTCTCCAACACCATAACTCAAATGCACCAATTCTTCAACTGTCTTCCCGATTCATTATTCAACTTTCACATGCATATGAAATTACTGAAAACATGGAGTGGGTCACGTGTTTTGGTTCTCTTAACCAATACCTTTGCTCCTGAACACTTTAAAGAGATCGTGTGCAGATTTACCTAATGCAATATGTTGTTTGATTCTTGACTGCTGCTTCCATGAGTATTGATTGTGGATCCAAGCAAAATGAAGTCTAACAACTTTAATCTTTTCTCGATTTATCATGATGCTATGTATTGGTCCAGTGGTGAGGACTTTTGTTTTCTTTACATTGAGTTGTAACCCATACTGAAGGCTGTTGTCTTTGATCTTCATCAGTAAGTAATTTAATTCCTTTTCATTTTCAGCAAGCAAGGTTATATCATCTGTATATCTCAAGTTGTTAATTAGTCTTCCTCCAATCCTGATATTGTGATCTTCTTCATATAATCCATAGACTCCTTTAATATTACAAGTTGAGACTTGAATTTTTTCTTCAGTTATTTTAGCTTGAGAAAAGCCAGGTGCGTTCTTCCCTTTTGGTTTTCTAACTACAGATCTTTGTACATTTCGTCATACTTTACTTTGTCTTCTTGAGTCAGCCTTTGAATTACTTTGTTCAACTCTTTTAGTTCATTTCCTCCATTTGCTTTACCTACCATACATTCAATGTCATCTCTCTGACATTCATATTTATCTTTTCTTTCTTTCCTGTCTTTTTAATTATATTTTGCTTTCTTCATGTATATGATGCCCTTGATGTCATCTACAAGTCATCTGGTCTTTGGTTATAACCTGGAAATAAGTTGTAACTGTAATATATACTGTATTTTTCGTGTAAAACTTAAAAAACAAATGTTTAATTGGTAACTTCATTTTCAAGGCTATGTGAAATAGCAGCCACTTTGACTTTAATGAAAATCAAGCAGCAGGAACATAGGGTAAGTTGGTATGTGTTAGATACACTGAGAACCGATGTTCACAAAAATTTTCTTCTTCTTTAGTTTAGCGATTGGCAGCATCTCTGGCCATGCCAAAGTCCACCCTGATCTCTGTGTTGTTTGGGTGGATGCCCACACGGATATCAACACTCCACAGACAACCACAAGTGGGAACTTGCATGGACAACCTGTGTCTTTTCTCCTGAAGGAACTACAGGGAAAGGTGAATGACTGGTTGACATTTTCTTAGAAAAGAGTAATCTTTAGTAAAAGTTCAGGTGGTGGACAGGAACTAAGAACCCCTATGTCATCTTGGTGTGGTGCTGTGGGATAAAGCACTAGACCACAAAGTCGGTTTGAACCACAAGGTCATACAGGGTTGCTATGAGTTGGAACTGACTCAACCTCACTTAACAACATCATCTTTTTCTTGGTGCAACTTCAATCCATATTCTCTGCAATCAGGAAGTAAAGGATTGGCTGATAAAACTGGGCAAAGCTGTCTGCCTTTATCTTACTTGGTAGTTTGCAAACTGACTTTGCATACATCTTACCTTTTGATTCTCAGAGCTAACCTTTTTAGTAGGTGGAATACTATCATTTGCTGTTGATTCGACTCCAACTCATGGCAACCCCATGTGTGTCAGAGTAGAACTGTGCTCCACAAGGTTTTCAATGGCTGATTGTTGTTGTTTTTAAAGTAGGTGGCAGGCCTTTCTTCTGAGGTACTTTGGATAGACTCGAACCCCAATCTTTTAAAAAATTTAGGCAAGCACATAAACTGTTTGCACCTTGAGGCAGTTGTTGTTGGTGCCATCAAGTCCATTTTGACTCAGTGACCCTGTATGGGGTTTCTGAAGCTGTAAATCATTGTGGTTGATGTAAGCGACATCTTTCTCCCACAGATTGGCTGGTGGGCTTGAACCACTTACCTTATGGTTCGTAGCCTAGTGCTTATTCCACAGAATCACCGCACTCCTCTAGTAAATATACTCCTTTATAAACAAGTTATCAGCTCAGAGTCTAGCACCTTTCTGAGATCATATTCCAAGCATATAGCAAGGGAAGGCCCAGAACCAGGTCTCCTAACTCCTATCTCTTTCTAATATACCATTCAACCTCTTATTCTTACAAATTTATTAAAAATAAATACATATTATAGGGGATTTTTAATGTGGTGCTGTAGGATAAGCACTGAATGACTAACCACAAGGTGTGCAGTTCAAACCCACCAGCAGCTCCATGGGAACTCTATGGAGAGTTGCTATGAGCTGGAACTGACTTGATGGCACTTAACAACATAGTGATTTATATTAACATCCTTATGAAGAAATATACAAACTATATCTCTAAATCATAGGAAGAAGGGCTATCCCTTTGTTCCCTACAAATTTCTATTATAAAATATGTACGATGAAATTCCAGATCAAAATTAAACAATATAGTTTTAGACTTTTATTGTTTTGTATAGCACCTACAGTATATTAATCTTTATGATGATACACGGGGATTCAAACCTCCTTATGTGAAATATTCAGGAGTAATTCTTTCCTGCACTGATGACCAAGTGATAGATCTATAAAGTTGGAAAATGTCTATCTAGCACTGCAAAACCACCAAGTTCCAGAACAAAGCAGATATTACATGATGGTGTGAGGTTTGGTCAAAAATTTCTTCAGGTCACCCTAGACCTTCTTTTGAATTAAGTACCTTATTGAGAAGGAGAAGTCAGAAGGCTTTTATCAAAGTAATGGAAGCACAGATTTCTTATGGAAGAACTCTATAAGTGAGGCACAAAGCAGGTAAACTCTGATAAATGGTCAGGTTACATCTGGATACCAGGGTGAGGCTGTGTAAGGCCAAGGCATCAAAGGTATCACAAGGGTAAAAAGACATCCCTTCCTTAATTTTGTGACTGAAAAAAACATGGCTTCCGCTAAATTTAAGATGTATGTACATTCTTATGTGCTAAATATTAGATATATGCAACCTTACCTGTCTTCCTAATTTTAAAAGTAAGATTTACTCTTGATGTGGTAGTCAGTTACTGTCAATTCCAATTCATGACAACCCCATGGGCGGAGCATACCTGCTCCAGAAAGTTTTCAAGGCTGTGAACTTTTGGTAGCAGATCAACAGGTCTGTCTTCTGAGGCGACTTTGGATGTTTCAACCATCAACCTTTGGCTGGTGTTGTTGTTAAGTGCTGCAGAATCGGTTCCGACCCATAGCGACACTATAGGGTTTCCAAGGAGCAGTTGGTGAACTTGAACTGCTGACCTTGCAGTTCAAATGGCTTTGTAGTCTGGTGCATTTAGCTCCAGCGCCACACCAGGACTCCTTTTGGCTGGTAGTCAAGAACTAACCATTTGCACTATTAGGGACCCCTAAAGATTTACTATAGAGGAACAGTAACCAAATGGAAACATTGCAATTTTAGATTCCTGATATACCGGGATTATCTTGGGTGACTCCCTGCATATCTGCTAAAGACATTGTATACATTGGCTTGAGAGATGTGGATCCTGGTGAACAGTAAGTACATTCCTTGATGTGATTTACTTTCATTTCTGTCCCCTTTATGTATTCAGTATGCTTTATTGGTCTAGACCTGCTCTTTATTTCTCTATATAAAACACAATTCACAAAACCTAAGAATTTCACATATTTACCACAATAACTTTTCCTTTAAAAGACATAGTATCAAAGTTTTATTACTGGCTATCAGGGGCTAGGGGGAGGGAAATAGAGAGTTATTGCATGAGGGTTACTGAATTTGGGGTGACAAAAGACTTTTACAAATTGATAATGGTAGCACAACATGATGATTATAACTAATGAACTTAATTTATACTCTTAGTAATGATTTAAATGACCTACAACTGAACAACTAAAAGATAAACAATCAATCACATTTCTCTAGTGGCCAAAAATCACGAGAATACTAACACCATCAGTCATTGTTTTTTCAGGTCAAGTCAGTTCTGACTCATAGAGCCCTTATGCATCATAAAATGAAACACTGCCCGGTCCTGAACCATCCTCTCAAACGTTGTTACACTTGAGCCCATTCCTATTGCAACTGTGCCAATCCATCCCCTTGGGTGTCTTCCTCTTTTTCACTGACCTCTACATGATGGCCTTATTCAGGGACTGTTCCCTCTTGGTGACAAGTCTGAAGTATGAAAGACTAAGTCTTGCCACTCTGGCCTCTGAGAAGCAGTCTGGCTGTACTCTTCCAAGACAGATTTGATTTTTCTTTTGGAACTCCATGGTACTTTTAATATCCTTCTCCAACACCATAACTCAAATGCATCAATTCTTCTATGGTCTTCATTACTCGTTGTCCAACTTTTGCATGCATAACAGGCTATTGAAGATACCATGACTTGGGTTAGGTGCACCTTAGTGCTCAAGCTGACATCTTTGCTCTTCAACACTTTAAAGAGGTCTTGTACAGCAGATTTGCCTAGTGTAATACATCGTTTGATTTCTTAATTGCTGCTTCCATGAGTGTTGTGAATCCAAGCAAAATGACATCTTTGACAGAAATCTTTTCTTCACTTATCATAATTGGTCCAGTGGTGAGGATTTTGTTTTCTTTACATTGAGGTACAACCCAATACTGAAGATTGTGGTCTTTGATTTTCATCAGTAAGTATTTTATGTCCTCTTCACTTTCAACAAGCAAGATTGTATCATCTGCATATATCAGCTTGTTAATAAAGTTTCTTCCAATCCTGATGCCACATTCTTCTTCATATAACCCAGCATCTCAGATCATTTTTTCAGTATACAGAATGAATAAATATGTTGAAGGATTACAATCTTGGCACACGCCTTTTCTCATTTTAGACCATTCAGTGTCCCCTTATTCTGTTCAAATGACTGCCTCTTGGTCTATGTACAGGTTCTTCATGAGCACAATGAAGTGTTCCGCAATGTTATCTATAGTTTGTGATGATCAACGTAGTCTAAAGCCTTTGTGTAGTGAATAAAGCACAAGCAGATGTCTTTCTGGACCTGGTGTGGATAAGCCCTGGATTGCGAACCACAGGGTACAACTGTTACAACCCACTAGCTGTTAGTTTGAACCCCTATATAGGGTTACCATGAACAGAAATGTATATGATGGTACTTAACAACAATCACCATCTTTCTGGTATTCTCTGTTTTCAGTCAAGTTATATTTGACATCAGCAATAATATCCTTTATTCCACATCCTTGTCTGAATGTGGCTAGAACCATCTGACAGCTCCCTGTCAATGCACTATTGCAGTTGTTTCTTGTCTGAATGTGGCTAGAACCATCTGACAGCTCCCTGTCAATGCACTATTGCAGTTGTTTTTGAATTATCTTTAGCAAAATTTTACTTGCATTTATGATATTAATGATATTGTACAATGATTTCCACATTCTGTTGGGTCACCATTCTTTGGCATGGGCATAAATATGGATCTCTTCCAATTGGCTAGGTATCTGTCTTCCAAATTTTTTGGCACAGATAAGTGAGTGCCTCCATTTCTACATTAGTTTGTTAAAAGATTTTAATTTACATTCCATTAGTTCCTGGGCTCTTGTTTTTGATAATGCCTTCAGTGCACCTTAGACTTCTTCATTCAGTACCATGGGTTCTTTCTTGATCATATGCTATCACTTGAAATGGTTGAACGTCAACCATTTCTTCTTCTTTTTTTTTTAATTGAACAACCTGAGTTTAATTAGTGGTTAAAAACAAAAATTGGCCACAACCAGACAGATCCAGGTTTTAGGCAGTGCCCTAAACCCCGAGGACTTCCAAAACCATTTACCATGGTAACCACAGAGAGTTAAACAATTTTAAATGTTCCACTTGCAACATTAAACCAGTATCACAAATGATTTTCTCATCACAGAACACTTCTTCATTACTTCATTTTGAAATTGACAGTGTAGCACTGGGTTTTTACCTTAACTTTGCTCCCCACCCTACTCCACTCCATTTGTGGTTTTCTCCTTCTTTTTTTGCATTTATTGTAAAAATATATACGACACAACATTTGTCAATTCAACATTCTTCACAGGAATGATTCGGTGATACCCATTGCATCATATTAGCTTTTTCAATATTGCCATCTCTTTCCTCTCCTACCCCCATCAGACTGCACAACAAGCACATAGCAAATAGATCTTTGGTGTGCCAGTTGTTGAAGCCATTAGCCAGTTGAGAAGCAGATGAGCTCATCACAACGCTCTTTTGAGATTGCTTTGAAGACAACAGCTTCCACGTGCATTCATCTAATGTCAACAGAACATTGAGTTGCAATGCTAGGATCTTGGCCACTGTAGTCTAGTCAAACTCACAGCCCATTAGAGTCCTCAAGGTTGTACATCTTTACTGGAACCTACTGCCTCATCTTTCTTCCATGGAGCAACTAGTGGGTTCGAATTTCTGACCTTTTGGTTGACAGTGCAGCACTTAACCACTGCATCACCAGGGTTCCTTTGGGAATGGTGGTGGCGGTGGTGGTAGCTGTGTGCCATGGAGTCACTTCTGACTCGTAGCAACCCTGTATAGGGTTTCTGAGGCTGTAAATCTTTTACAGGAGCGGAAAGTCTCATCTTTCTCCCACGGAACAGCTGGTAGTTTAGAACTGCTGACCTTGAGGTTAGCAGCCTGATTTATAACCAGCTCTGTGCGACCAGAGCTCCTTTCTTTGGGAATAATAGGACCTAATTAAGGCATTATGAGGAGATAGAGTTTCATAGTTAAGTTAATTAGTCTCAGTTGAAAAATCCTTTTTGAGTGACCACTGTGGGTTGAAGATGGCCATGGTGGTGGGAGTTGGTAGCATTGTGTCCAAGTGAATTAAGTCATGGTTTTCAGAGTCTGTTAGCAAGCTTCCTTTCCCTGGATTGTTAACCATTTCTTTTTGATACAGTGACTCTGACTCTGTATATTCCTTTCATCTTCTTTTGATGCTTTCTGCATTATTCAGTAATTTGCCCATGCTGTTGTTGTTGTTAAGTGCCATCGAGTTGATTCCAACCCATAGCAACCCTGTATAGGGTTTCCGAGGAGTGACTGGTGAGCTTGAACTGCTGACCTTATAATTCAAACGGTATTGGTCTGACACATTAACCCACAGTGCCACACTAGGACTCCAGAATCCTTCAGTGTTTCAAGTTGAAGCTTGTGTTTTCATTTCACTTCTTTCAGCTTGAGAAATGAACATGTTCTTCCCTTTTGGTTTCCTAACTCCAGGTGTTTGCACATTTAATTATATTTGACTATATCTTCCTGAGCTGCCCTTTAAACATTCTGTTCAATTCTTTTAACTCCTCATTTCTCCCACTTGCTTTAGCAGCTCAAGCTAGAAAACAAGTTTCAGAGCCTCTTCTGACATCCATTTTGGTCTTTTCCTTCTTTTCTGTCTTAATGACTTGCTTTCTTCCTGTATGTTCCTGACCTCATTCCACAACTCTTCTAGCTTTCAGTCATTAGTGTGTAACACATCAACTCTGCTTTTGAGATGATCCCTAACTTCAGGGGGGATATGTTCATGGTTATATTTTGGCTCTATGGACTTGTTTTAATTTTCTTCAGCTTCAGCCTAAACTTGCATGTAAGCACAGTCTGCACCTGGCCTTGTTTTTGCTATTGATAAGGAGTTTCTCCGCCAACTCTTGCCAAGATGTTGTCAATTTATGTGTAGTACATCTGGTGAGGTCCATGTGTATACAACTTTTTTTTTTTTTCTACAAGTCATCTTTTATGTTGTTTTAAAAATGTATTTGCAATGAATAAGTCACTGGTCTTGCAAAATTTTATCATGTGATCTCCAGTACCATATCTATCACCAAGGCCATATTTTCCAACTACTGATCCTTCCTCATTGTTTCCAACCTTTGCCTTCTAATCACCAGTTATTATCAATATATCTTTGTTGCATGTTTGATCACTTTCAGACTGAAAAAGTTGGTAGAATTCTTTGACTTCATCATCACTGGCTTTAGTGGTTGGTGCATAAATATGGATAGTTGTATGAACTGATCTTCCTTGTAGGTATACGGATATTACCCAATCACAGACACCATTATATTTCTAGATAGATCTTGAAATACTCATTTTGATGATGAACACGACACCATTCCTCTTCTGTCATTCCTAGCATAGTAAATCATATAACTTTCTGGTTCAAAATGGCCAATACCAGTTCCATTTCGGCTAATGCCAAGGATATCAATCTTTATGTGTTCCATTTCAATTTTGACAACTTCCATTTTTTGAGATTCATACTTCATACAGTCCATGTTCCTTTTATTAATGGATGTCACAGCTGTTTCTCCTCATTTTCAATTGTGTCCCATCAGCAAATGAAGGTCCTGAAAGCTTTACTCCATTCACATCATCAGTCAGCTTCCTCAGTTGTATTTTGAGTACCTTCCAGCCTGAGGGGCTCATCTTACAGCACTGTATCTGACAATACTGTGGTGCTACTCATCAGCATGTTCTGACAATCAATATTCTGGTGTTATCTTACAGTGTTCCACTGCTATTCATAAGGTTTTCAGTGGTTAAACATTCAGTAGTCTGCCTCTTCTTCTTTCTAGTTTATCTTAGTCTGGAAGCTCCACTGAAACTCGTCCACCATAGGTAACCCTGTGGATATTTTGAAAAGCTAAATGTACATTTACCACACCAAAAAAACAAACTAAACCCACTGCTGTTGAGGTGACTTCAACTCAGTTGGTCACCTTAGGTGACCCAGAAATTCTATACCAAGGTTGCTGTTAGGTTCCATAGAGTGGATTCTGACTCTCAGTGACCCTATATGCACAACAGAATGAAACACTGCCAGGTCCTACACCATCCTCACAATTGTCATTATGCTTGACCCCATTGTTGCTGTCACTGTGCCAATCAATCTTGCTGGGGGTCTTCTTTTCTACTGATCCTCCACTCTACCAAGCATGGTGTCTTTCTCCAGGAACTGGTCCTTCCTGACAAATTTCCACAATACAAGAGACCAATCTTGCCACCCTTGCTTCTAAAGAGCTATTCTTCCAGGACAGATTTGTTCTTTCTTTTGGCAGTCCATTGTACTCTCAATATTCTTTGATAACACCACAGTTAACATGCAACAATTCTTCTACAGTCTTCCCCATTCATTGTCCATCTTTCACATGCATGTGAAGTGACTAAAAACACCATGGTCTGCATCAAGTGCATCTTAGTCCTAATGCGACACCAAGACTTTAAAGAGGTCTTTAAAAAAAGCAGATTTGTCCAATATAATATGTTGCTCAATTTCTTCGACACCAAGTATGTACCCCAAAGAACTGAAAGCAGGAATACAAAGAGAAACTTGTATACCAATGTTCATTTCAGCAGTATTTACAATTGTCAAAAGGTAGAAACTACCTAAATCCCCATCAACAGATGGATACAAAAAATATGGCATATACATAAATATTACTCAGACATAAAAATAAATGGCTTCATACATGGATGAATCTTAAAAGGACAAATATTGTGTGACTCCACTTACTCAAAATATCCAAAATTGACAAATACAGAGACAAATGTTTACTAGTGATTACCAGGAGCAAGAGTTCTGGTGTGGTGCTGTGGATTAATGCGCCAGACTGCAAAGTCATTTGAACTGCAAGTTTGGTGGTTCAAACTCACCAGCTGCTCCTTGGAAACCCTATACAGGGTTGCTATGGGTCGGAACTGACTCGATGGCACTTCACAATAACAACCAGGCGCAGGTGAGAAATGAATGGGGTACTGCTGCCAAAGTGGCAATCTTGTCTACTAAGGGTGATGAAAATCTTGGAACCACACCTTGGAACCACACTGTGGTGTTAATGCTACTGAATTGTATTCGTGAAAATGATTGAAATGGGGATTGATTTAAGTCAGTCTCCCCATTAATTGTTTATTATTTTAACGTCTCTTCTTTCCTAGCTACATTTTGAAAACTTTGGGTATTAAGTTCTTTTCGATGAGTGAAGTGGACAAGCTGGGGATTGGTAAAGTGATGGAAGAAACACTCAGCTATCTACTAGGAAGGTACGATGCTTGTGTGTCTGTTTGTGTATATGGACAACACAAATATTGAGGGCTTACTAGTGACACTAATCAATGTCAATTAGCAATAGTTTTAAATCTTGGAACTTCCCAGGGTTGTCATGTTTTACAAAGCAGGGTAAGAACTGTACTTACCTATTACACATTAAATCATCATCTTTAATCCGAATTTCTTTCCTGCCTCTTCAAAGAAAGAAAAGGCCAATTCATCTGAGTTTTGATGTTGATGGACTGGACCCGTCTTTCACACCAGCTACTGGCACACCAGTCCTAGGAGGTCTGTCTTATAGAGAAGGTCTCTATATTACAGAAGAAATTTACAAAACAGGTAGGTAAAGATCTAGGGTCTAAGCAGCCAGGATACATGAAGGGGCTTCAAAAAATTTGTGGAAAAATCCATTATATTTAATTCCATTTATCCATGAACTTTCTGACTTGAATCAAATCATTCCGATTTGAAAACCAAGTGCCTAAGTACACTTCAAAAGCAGACTTCTTCCCATGTAAACTATCACATAATTCATAATAAAACATTTTTTAAAAAAAGCAGACGTCTTCACACAACGCAGTAACTAAGTGCTTTTGGTTGGTTACCATTTCTTTACATTCTTGGCTAATCTCTCAAGTTAGTCTGTACTGAATTAAAAATGTCAACTATTTTATAAATGACATTCCTATTTGCTTCTGTAGGGCTACTCTCAGGATTAGATATAATGGAAGTGAATCCATCGCTGGGGAAGACACCAGAAGAAGTAACTCGAACAGTGAACACAGCAGTAGCTATCACCTTATCTTGCTTTGGAGTTGCGCGGGAGGGTAATCATAAAGATATTAACTATCTTAGCCCACCTAAGTAAATGTGGAAACATCATACACAAATCTGACAGCTAATAACATAATTAGCCAAAATAATAATTTACTTAAGCCTACAGTTATCTTCCTAAAGACTGTCTTTTCAGAAAAATGTTTTGTCTTAGTAAATACTATACAGTTAGTATAAACTGTACAGATTGTAAACCCCCTTGGTGTGAAATTCATGATGGGGCAATTCTAACTTCTGTAAAATTAAAAATTTTATAGTTGCCAATTTGAGAAAAGATTTATCTTTCTTTGGAAAGAAACAGCGTCAATTAATTTCCAACTGAAAATTTACTGCAATTTACACAAAGATACCCTACCTGAAAAGGTACCATATGTCCATACTGTTCAAAAGATGTGTTTATAATAAACTGTTTATAAGAAGACTCTGTAGTGTTTATGTTATATGTTGCCTAATACATGCAAATATGTATGGTGTGGTGCTGTAGGAACAGCACTGAACTGCTAACCACAAGGTAGGTGGTTCAAACCCACCAGCTGCTCTGTGGAAACCCTACACAGGGATGCTATGAGTTGGAACTGACTTGACAGCACTTAACAACAACATATATGTATTACACACATCATATGTACAGCCTATTAAGACTACTATAAAGATTTAAAAACACTGGCATTTAAATTTCCTGGCTCTGGTTTCTTAATCTGTAAAATAGGTAATCATAAAACTTGTGCTGTTAAGTAGGTTCTGACTCATAGCGACCCTGTGTAGGGTTTCTAAGGAGTGGCTGGTGAGTTTGAACTACTGACCTTGTGGTTCAAACTGGCCTTGTTGCCCAGTGCTTTATCCCACAGTGCCACAAAATGGTCATATTTTACTATTTTTAAACCTGAAACATGATATTGATTGATATTTTAAATGTGGCTGGTATTTCTCAATAGCTTTTAAAAAAGTAGAAAATGTAGCCAAAAATCTATTCAGGAACCAGAGAATTCAGATTGCTGTTTTGTTCACAAGATCTACTAATTCCGATCAAGCTGTGACCTAAACTGGTCTGTGACTGCCCAATGTCCCAGCCTTTGATAAATGCAATGACAGCATCTTTCTTTAGCTCAAATCCTTAAATATCTCCAAAATTAATTTACGTTCTCAAATATACTGAGGAAAGTGGAACACAAATGAGATTTTTTGTTGTTGTTATCTGCAGTCTAGTGTGGCGCTGTAGGGTAAGCACTGGATTGCTAATTGCAAGACTGGTAGTTCAAATCCAGCAGCCACTCCTTGAAACCCTATACAAGGTTGCTAAGAGTTAGAATGACTCAATGACATTTAACAGCTATGGAAAACCTCTACCACATCTGATTCTTCATCTGTAATCCAGAATTTTAAATCTATTACCTCTTTGATCTGTGAAAGCGAAATATTTTATTGAATGGCTTACAGATGAGAGCAACTGTGGTGGATCAAACTCAAGAAACACATTGTCCAGTACTGGCCACATGTGATTATTTTAATTAATTGGAGTCTTATTAAACTGAAAATTCAATCACTCAGGTATACAAAGCTACTCTTCAGATGTTCAGTGACCACACGAGGCACAGGATGGCAAAGGTATAGGACATTGCCAACTGCAGAAAGTTCTATGGGACAGAGCTACTATATAGACAATTTTTTTTTTTAAAGATTTTCACAAAGAAAAAGAAAAACAAAAGGATGTAATGAATATAAGGGTATTTTTTTCTCAGTTGTATCCTAAAATTACCTGAAAGTTTGCTTTCTATTCATTTCTCTAGTTAATAATTAACTCTTTAAAGTCTATTGTAAGAAATGACATTACATTTTTTTTTTTTTAAGATAGATGTCCTTTGTTTTTTTTTTAAATTGGGTGATATATAGGATCCCTAGCCCCTGTGGCACTGTACGATCAGCAATATACTGTGACCCTCACGGTTGGCAGTTCAAACCCACCAGCTGCTCCTTGGAAACCCCACACATTATGGCTATGTGTTGGGACTGACTAGATAACACTTACCAACAGCAACAACATCATATAGGATATCCCTGGTGGCTCAGTGACTGAAATTCTTGGCTAATACTCAAAAAGGGAAAAAATGAAAAAGATCAGTGCCTCCCATGGGAAGAAGAAGTGGTGATCTGTTTCGGGAAAATTCTACTTTGTTCCCAGGATTTTGATGCGTTGGAACTAACTTGGTAGCAGTGGGCTTGTGTTTGGTTTTTTTTTTTTGGCAGGGAATGTGTATGTTCCATGGAAATGATAATGCTGATTTTGTTTGTACATTACCAGTTAATATATGTATCATAATTATTCCTATTTTAGGATTGCTGAGCAATATATTTGAGGCACAGAAATTTGAGAATAATATTTAAATATTGAAAATATTTAAAATAATTTTTAGAATAAAACTTCCGGAGAATTTTAAGAATAAAATAAGGCATTACATAAATTTCAAGTGGGGTTTGTATCACAAAGAAAGATTTGGTCTAAGTGACTGCAGTGATATAAGTAATGAGGAAAATGAAAATTTAGGAAGACTGTACTTTGAAACAGGAGTCTGAAGCATAGTTGGTTTGAAATTTCTCATAAAAAAACAAAAAAAAAAACAACCATGTTTCTAACAGCCACTGAGTTGGTTCTGACTCATAGTGACTCTGTATAGGGTTTCAGAGAAGTGGCTGGTGGTTTGAACCTCTGACCTCATGACTAACAGTCCAGATGTTGTTGTTCAGTGCCGTCGAGTTGGTTCTGACCCATAGCAACTCTGTACAGGGTTTTCGAGGCTGTAAATCATTACGGGAACAGATAACAGTCCAGTAGTAACTTTTAATTCCTACATCAATTTCTGTTGCCAACTATGATGTGTATGGCCCACGGAAATAGCACGGTTTTAGGCTGAAATCCAGCCAGCAGACACTCATTCAAATGAAGTGTTAAAGAATCATGTTGCTTATTCATTCAACAGATTTTTACTATTTTTTTAGTCTTTTATATTTTAATGACATTTATTTTTTCTAAAAGTAGTGTCTCAAACTCTAATAAACCCTAAAGGACTAAAATGAGTACTACATTTAGAAATACACTATTTTAAAAGTTTTAAGATTGAAAATACACAAATCATTATATCATTTGAAAGGTGAGAATGTCAACCTGGAAGAGGAATTAGCTTATTTTTTAAATCAGAGCATGGAGTATCAACCATTTAAGCCTGATTTTATTAATCTGGTATACTTCCACAGATGTTACTTTCTTACATGGTTCCCAACTTATTTCATACAGTAAGTTCAAGTTCAAAGCAAAGCAAAAAACTGCCAATCTACCTTGAGAGAAACATTAGACCATTAATTTACATGGAAGGCTACAACCTTTCTAAGCCATTACAAAAAGAATATGAAACTGGGTTTACTCTTGCAAAACAAGGAAACTTAAGAGTCCTTTATCTGGTCAAAACCCTAGATACACTGAAGGAGATTGACATATAAAAGGTTTTGTAATAATTAATTGTTTTACATGTTGTGGTGTTTTTTTTTTTAAACAACATATTTAAATACTGTATTTGTTATTAATAATAAAAAATAAAACCAAAAACAATGGGTAAAAGAGGAAAGAGAGGGAAGGCCTAATAAAAGTGATTGGATCACAGGTGCCTCTACGTCCCTCAGCAGTTCTCATAAACTGTTATGGATATGAATGGACTGTAGCTGATTTGATCTCTTAGAGACAAAAATACAGCTAAGGAGATGGAGTTATAAGGTCAATAGATTCACTAGGTGAATCAAAATACAACAATCTGAATATCACTGCTTCTGCTATATCACTTTATAGTAAGAAGATGTTCAGATTTAATAGATCTGAGTCCACGTTCAAAGACGGATGTTTCCAGTTCAACCACATTATGCTCTGGCTTCACTGAGCTCCAGGTAAAGACACTGGCACCTGATTAGGCTGCGGTGCTGGTGACCCACTACTTAAGGCTTGTGGAGGCACTGCTGCTGGTTCCATCTTGCTAATGTGCGTGATGAACCGAAGGCGAAGCTTCAAAGCTGGTTTTAAATTACAGATAATCTTCTCTACCTAAAAAAGGAAAACACAAATATTTTAACTATTAAAAAGTATTTCAACTCCTCATCTTGAAAGACGTGTTTTACACATCACCTGACACAAAAAACTGGGGTGAAGTAGAGGGGGTGATAAGCTTTTCTACATGTTTTGCGTGTTGACAAAAGAAGATACACTTAATTCTTTTTCACTCTCTATATGTGTATTACGAATCGGGCTGCTAGCCTTCTGTTCTGTGGGAGAAAAATGAGGCATTCTGCTCCTGTAAAGAGTTATAATCTCGGAAACCCTGCACATGGTTGCTGAGTCGGAACCAACTCCACAGCACATAACTGAAACCAAAAAACCTATATATGTATTTAGCATATATGAAGGAGTTTCAAAAAGTTTCTGGAGAAATTCCATTACCTCTTAATTCTACTTTCCCATAAACTTTTGGAAGCCCTTGTACATATGAAGGTAAGTCAAAAAGTATTGCTATAGAATCAAAGAAATTTTTATTAAACAAAACGAACAAATGTAAAGCTATTGTTTCTCGACATCTCCTCTCGCTAGGTCTGTATACTTCTGAAGGTGGTGTTTCCATCTCTGTAAGCCAATGCTCGCAGCATTCTGTACTCTTCAATTTATAGTCTATTAAAGTGGCAGTTTTGGCATCCTTGAAGAACTTAAATCGTGTTCCTTTTAAATGCTCTTTGAGTTTTGAAAACAAAAAGAAGTCTGAAGGGGCAAGATGAGGGCTGTTGGGTAGATGGGGTACGGTTTCTCAGCAGAATTCTCATAAGACAGTTCTTGCCACTCTCGAAGAATGAGTAGGTGCACTTTTGTAATGGAAGGAAAAAAAAATTTTTTTTTTTTTTTGGCACAACTTTCCTGGGCTTATCCTCAGCAATGGATTTTCCAATTTTCTTAAATTTCTTCATAGCAATCCCCATGAATGCCCTGTGTCCTTTTTAAAAAATCTATCAAGATTACCTCTTTAGAATCCAAAAAGACTCACCATAAACTTCTGAGATGCCCTCTCTGCCTTGAATTTAACTGGCCAAGCAGACCCTCACTGATCACGGAGACACGTTTAAACACGTTTTCGGTGAAATAAACCTTAGTAGCAAAGCTTCTGACTTAGTTATATGAATATGAGTGTGCACATATTATATATGCATACTCTTACAAAAACATATTCTTTTATCCAGTTAACCAGTCATCCCAGTACCAAAAGATAGCACACGCCAAACATTTCACACATCCAACAAGTTTATCATCCTTTTAAAATGCCATTTTCATAGAAGCATGAAGCAGGACTGTACTGAAAATTTCTTTGAATAACTCATATCAGCAACATTTATCTACTAAAGCTAATTTTTTATGTTGCTGTTGCTTTCCTTTATACTTGACATTAAAACAAAATACTAGCTCTATTTAAGGAAACCAGTGCATCTGCCAGTTTCACAATTTTCTATTACTAAAATATTATTTGACCTTACCAGGCAAGATTAATGCATTGTTTTTGTTTTCTATTCATCTTTAGGTCAGGATATGCTAAATAAAATATTTTTTTCTTGGTTCACACCTAACTCTTCTATCTTGTTGAAGTATAATGGTGTGAACAGCCTTTCCACCCATCTCCTCACCTCCAAGGGCAGATCCCAGTAGGTTAGGGTTGCTATAATAATCTATCTCCTTTTCCATTATCGAAAGGAATAACACACAAAATAGGAATGGATGAGGATATTAAACTTTATCTATCTAGCTTAACCCCATTTCTCTATAACAGCACAGATTCTGTTTTCTAAAGATAAGAGGTCCAGTTATGATTCAAGGAGATCTTAGTACCTTCACACAGCAATACTAACTAGGAAGTGCCTTTTCATATGCTGAGTCAGAATATGCCTCCCTTTACATTCACCTGTGAAGTGACAGTAAATCTAGGTGACAGCAAATCCAGTATCCACTCCATGTGGCAGCCCTTCTACTAGTGAGGGCATGAACAATTCCCGCAAACTAGTCACAAATTCTTCTCTAGATCACTCTGGCTTCTGTCCTCCAGTCATGCTACCATTCGTTCAGTGTCCCTTGTACCCAAACCAATGAAGAAAAAATGAGTATCTCCTTCATTCACAAAAAGACCTAGCTGGACTTTCAACTGTCCACAGCACACTGTTTCTTCCTAATGAGATCACTGTCAATTCCACAGGTTTTTTTTTCATGTCTTGCTAAAATATCAAGGAAGAAAAATGTGAGGAATTATAACATGTATTTACTTTAAAACTGTATCCAGAACATACATTCATATAGCCTAGAAGGGTCTGATATCAACATTTCTCCTTAACCACTGCCTCAAAAAATTAACTAAACAGAAAAACATAAACAAAAAGGCCAACACCATGGTTTCAAATTTTTAAAATTAAGTAACACTCAAGCATAATCAAATAAATTCAACATACCTGTTCTTTTACACTGTCACCAGTAAACATATACTTCATATGATACAAGAAGTCACAGATGGGATCCATGTAATTTAAGTGGGTGCTACACTGGTCTACATTCAGCAGCATGTCATAAAATGCTACCCCAATCTGTTAAATAATATAAAGACATTTCCATGATTCAGCATGATGTAGCTGGACTCCATTATATCACTAGCACAGGGGTATACTATGTTTGTTGAAGGAACTGTCCGTATCTTTATGCATATGGAAAGCACAACACGCTCTGCATTTATAATGGAATCCATAGTGTTACCCAGTACTTCCTAATAGGGTTTAAATGGAATTTCTCTTGATAACGTCGTAATTTTTCTAAAATTAAGAGAAATCCCCTTTCTAAAATCCATGGGACCACTCTACTGTCAAGAATTCTGGGAACTGCACCTTCTTAATTCCATTGGATTCACCACTCATCTGTCAGTCTGTCATACTGGGGTGGCCTATTGCTGTGCTGCCGTGATGGTAAAAGCTATGCCACTGGTACTTTGAATACCAGCAGGGTCACCCATGGTGGGCAGGTTTCAGTAGAGCTTCCACACTAAGACAAATAGAAAGGAAAAGGCAATCCATTTCTGAAAAATAAGCCACTGAAAACTATGAATACCAGGGAAACAGTGTCTGATACAGTGCCAGATGAGTCTCTCAGATTGGAAGACACTCAATTTTTGACTGGGAAAGAGATGACTCTTCAAAAAAAAAGGCAACCTTCATGATGGGAATGTAGTAAAGTTTTCAGGACCTTCATTAGCCGATGGAACACAACTCAAAATAGGAGGAAACAGCTGCAAACTTCCATTAATTATCAGAATGTGGAATGAAGAAAGTATGGAATCTAGGAAAACTGAAGTCATCAAAAAGAAACAAAGCACAGGGGTATCAATATCCTAGGTATCATGAAAGGAAATGGACTAGCATTGGCTACTCTGAATCACACAATCATATTACGCCAGGTATAACGAATTGAGAAGCATTACATTCATTCCTAAAAAGAACATTTCAAGATCTATCCTGAAATATAATGCTGTCAGTGATACGATAATAACCTTATGTTTACAAGGAAAACCAGTTAATATAACTATTATTCAAATTTACACACCAACCACAGAAGCCAATGGTGAAGAAAATGAAGATTTCTGTCAACTTCTATAATCTAATAAAATTGATCAAACGTGCAATTAAGATGCACTGATAATTACTGGTGATCGGAATGTGAAAGTTGGAAACAGAGAGGAAGGATTGGTAGTTGAAAAATATAGCTTTGGTGACAGAAACGAAGCTGAAGATCACAAGATAAGATTTTGCAAGACCAACAACAACTTCTACATTGTAAACACCTTTTCTCAACAACAAAAACAGAAACTATGTATGTGGACCTCACCAGATGAAATACACAGGAGTCAAATTGACTACACCCATGGAAAGAAAAGATAAGAGAAATTCAGTATTATTAGTGAGGTAAGCACACATACCTTCTAAAATAATAAACCATTTGAGATCAAAAGAGCAACATTCACCCAAAAACAAAATTCAGAAGGGTTAGGAAAGAATGAATGATGGGAACAGGAAACACAGATACGAACTGGGATAAGGGATGTTACACTGAGGGGATTATTCAATGATAAAACAAAATGTGTATGAACTGTTGGATGTAAAACTGATGATCTGCTCTGAAATCTTCCTCCAACACACAATGAAAGTTAAAAAAGAAAAAGAACATCATACAGAAAGAAAGTAAAAGATCATTAAAAAGAGAGAGAGAAAAAGAACAAAATGGACATCAGAAATATGCTCTTGAATATAGAGTAGCTAAAGCCAACTGGAAGAAATGAAGATGTAAAAGAGCTGAACAGAAAATTTCAAAGGGCAGCTCCTTTGAAGATAGGTAAAGTATTAAAATGAAATGTGCAAAGACCTGGAATTAAAGAACCCAAAGGAGAGAGTACACTTATCATTTCTCAGGCTGAAATAACTGAAGAAAAATTCAAGCCTTGAGTTCCAACATTGATGAATTCTATTGGTGAAATACCTAACGATACAGGAAACATCATAAGATGAAGAAATATACAGAATCTCTGTACCCAACAAAATAGGTCAATGTTCGACTATTTAAATAGGTAGCAAGTGATCAATAACTAATGTCACTGGAGGAAGAAGTCCACGGTGCAATAAAACACTGGAGAAAGAGACGGTTCTAGGAATTTGTGAAATATCAATGGAAATATTTCAGCAAACTGATGTAACACTGGAGGTATTCCTCTATCCATGCCAAGAAATTTGGAAGACAGTTTCCTGGTCAACCAACTGAAAGACATCCATATTTGCACCCATTCTAAAGAAAGGTGATGTAACAGAATACAGAAATTACAGAAAAATTTCATGGAAATCACATGACGTAAAATTTTGCTACACATAATTCAAACATGGGTGCAGCAGTACATCAATAGGAAACTGCCAGAAATTCAAGTCAGATTTAGAAGAGGGTGAGAAATGAGGAAAACATTGCTGAGGTTAGATGGATCTTGATTAAAGGTAGAGAATATCTGAAAGATGTTTGCTTGCATTTTATTGATTATGCAAAGACATTTGACTGTGTGGATCATAACAAACTACGGGTAGCCACTCAACAGAATGGGAATTCCAAAACGTTTAATTGTGCTCATGTGGAACCAGTTAACAACCAAGAGGCACTCATTCAAACAGAACAAAGGAGACAGGACAATGAGTGACTTAAAACGAGGAAAGGTGTGTGTCTGAGTTGTATACTTTCACTATACTTATTCAATCTTTTCTCAACAAATAATCTAAAAAGCTGGAATATGCAAAGAACACGGAAACAAGATTGGAAGAAGGGTCATTAACAGCCTGTGATATGCAGATGGCACAACCTTGCTTGCTTAAAATGCTGAGTTAGACAGCAATTTGAAACACTTATATATGAAGATCAAAGGCTGCAATCTTCAATATGGATTATATCTTCATGTAAAGAATATAAAAATCCTCATAACGAGATCAATAATCAACATCATGATAAATGGAGAAAGATTGAAACTGTCAAGGATATCATTTTACTTGGATCCACAATCAATACCCATGGAAGCAGCAGTTAGGAAATCAAATGACATATAGCACTGGGTGCTTGACTCAACCTATAGTATTTTCAATCACTTCATATGCGTGAGATAACTAGACAATGAATAAGGAAGACTGGAGAATTGATGCATTGGAATTTAGGCTTGGTGAAGAGTTATGAATACAACATGGATTCGCAGAAGAATGAACAAATCTGTTTTGGATAAAGTACACCTTGAATGTTCCTTGAAAGCAAGGATGCTGAGAATCTGTCACATATTTTGGACATGTTATCAGGAGGACCAGCTCCTGGAGAAAGACATCATGCTTGGTAAAGTAAAGGATCAGTGAAAAAGAGGAAGAACTTCAAAAAGATGGACTGACACAGTAGCTGCAACAATGTGATCAAGCGCAGAAACAACTGTGAGGATGGTTTAGGACCAGACAATGCTTCCTTCTGTGTATGTACATAGGTTCACTATGAATCAAAACCAATCTGATGATACCCAATACAGCTTGATAGTTCATGCTCTGAGGGACTATTTGTTTTCTTTTTCTCTACGACCTTCTTATGGGTGATTAAATTCACACATTCTCATGAGTTTAATTAACTGTTCTGTACTGAGGCTCTTAAAAGCACATCTTCATCCTTAATATTCTACTCTGAAACCCAACCTTGTTGACATTTCCCCCTGCCTAAATATATCTCACACCAAACCCTGTAAACACTATGTCCTCTCAAATTCTTTTACTTCTTACTAAACTGATTTTGCTACTAATCCTTAAAGAAGCTCTGGCAGTGTAGTGGTTACGAATCGGGCTGCTAATCTAACGATCAGCAGTTCGAAACTACCAGAGGTTCTGTGGGAGAAAGATGAGGCTTTCTGCTCCCGTAAAGATTTACAGCCTTGGAAACCCCATAGGGTCACTATTAGTCAGGAACACCCCTCCCCCCCCTCCCCCCACTAATCCTCATGAGCTTGAAAAACACTGGGACAGAAACTTAAATAAACCCTTTATAATTTAGTTTTACCACAAAAGACCCTAATTAAATTTTACCTCTATCATACACCGAGTTCTCTCTTGCTGAAATCTTTGCAAAAATGGTCCCACAAGATGGTATACATAAAGCAACTGGAATTCAGTCTTCACTACAGGAAGAAGCACTTCAGTGAGAAATCTAAAGTTTGAATATATTAAAAAAAAAAATCTTTTGTGACTTGCAACCAGTTGAATTATTTATATTTTGTTAATACAGCCAGCTTAAGTATTTGTAAAACTTGTAATAATTATCTTTAAGTTCCTTTTCATTTTATTAACAATAATACTTTTTAGATCTTTTATTGCTTTCATTTAATTACTGAAATAAATTATTTCAGATTTAAAAGTCATTCATATCAGTAATTATTAAATTAAGGAAAGTGAGTTCTCTGAAGTAAATAGAAAATGATCAATACAATACAAATGCCATTCTCAGTAAATCTGAATCCAAGTAATACCAATGTTATGGTCAAGAAAAAGAATCGGAAAATAGGTTAGTATCAGTTATTTCAAAGGCAACTTTGGGAATATATTTTGGAAAAAGCATGCATTGGACTAGTATTCTGGAATTTTAACAGAAAACTAGATACTTATTAGTATTGCTTATACAAAATTTTTTTTTCATATAATTCTAATACAAACAGCTTTCTGATTAAAACATTACTAAATATTTAATATCTAGTAAAATATTTTTACTTTACATTGTTCTAATGAATCGGAATATTAAACTTCATATGTAAATGAGATCAAAAACAAAAAGCCAAATTTCTTAAAGAAATCATAATACTTACTTTGGAATGAGAGAAAGCTGCCCAATGCTAGAATGGTGCCACACGGCATGAGCTAGAGCTAACGTATAGCTACAGTTCATCTCGGAGTAGGACTGATGACAAGCAGTGAAATCAAAGAGGCGAAACGGATAGCCAACCCATTCTGTCTCAGATGTCAAGCTGGGACTGCTAATAACACTCACAATTCGATCATGAAGGACAATCCAATATGGCTCCTTTAAAACCAGAGGAAAGCCTGCTGAAAAATATCACTTATCCAGTATTCAATCCCAAAGCTTAAACAATTCACATTTTCTCTGTCATTCAAGTTTCCTACTTATCCGACCTTTGTGTTGGTGAACATGGAGATTTTGAAATACAGTTGGGTGGCTTCATAACTGGTCAAACTACATCAACAATGCCTGAAAATCAGTATCTGTGAGTTAGAGGCTCCACATTTACACCAGTCCAGCTCTTTCACGTATCTGATATTTTTGCTGTTAAGTGCCGTCAAGTCAATTTTGACTCATAGTGACTCTGTATTGAGTTTCCAAGAAGCAGTTGGTGGGTTTGAACTGCCAACCTTGTGGTTCGCAGTCCAGTGTTGATCCTAGAACACCTCACCAGGAGTCCTGTATGTGATATGTACTATAAAATAGACTTTTCCAATACTTTCTGTGCAGATGGTACTGTTGTTGTTGTTAAGTACTGTGGAGTCGGTTCCGACTCATAGTGACCCTGCACAGGGTTTCTGAGACTGTAAATCTTTACGGGAGCAGAATACCTCATCTTTCTCCTGTGGTTTTGAACTGCTGACCTTGAGGTTAGCAGCCTGACTCGTAACCACTACGCTACCAGAGCTCCTTTAGATGGTACTATACACATATATTTTAGAGGTGTGTAAGGAAAAAAGTTATCCATAGAACTGAATAATCAAGCCTGTTTGCAGAGCACTGAGTTAGACACCAATATTGGAATTTTTAAAGCTATCTTAACGGATAAAACCAACAAATTCAATTTCATTTTTGAATTTAGGGAGGGGAATAAAACCTGCTTGATGTCTGCGGAACTGACTTAACTAGGAAGACAGAATTGTCGCTCACTAAACTAAAGGTAGTAAGTAATTTATTTAGCTCTATGGTGCACACCATACACAGGAGGGGACTACATTTGAGAGTCTGACATCAGGTCCTACGCTGGCAAAGAATGAGTAGGACTTAGAGAAGCTGACAGAACAAAGAAGAGTTCTAGCATGATGACTTCTGCCCTAACATATCAGAAGTATTTCTAACATGTCTCAGTGGAAACCTGAATGAGCAAGGCTCTAAATGGCCCAATGTATAACAGATTATGACATAAGAATTATGGTTGGATAGGTCAGATGGGACCTGAGGGTGCAGGAACCTGTCAGGTAGATACACTTATAAGGCCAAAGAGGCTAGAAAATAGGCACTGTATATTTTCATGCAGTAACATTATGATGTGTTGTTGTTGTTAAGTCCTGTCAAGTCGGTTCCGACTCACAGTGACCCTGTATAGGGTTTCCAAGAAGCAGCTGGTGAGTTTGAACCACCAACCTTGCAGTTCACATTGACCTTGCAGTCCAGTGCATTAACCCAGTGTGCCACAAAAGGACTTTGAAAATAAGAAACATTTATTAATGCGTATGATGTCTTGTAAGGAGCTCTGGTAGCATAGTGGTTATGAATCAGGCTGTGAACCGCAGGGTCAGCAGTTCGAAACTACTAGCTGTTCCGCAGGAGAAAAATGAGGCTGTAAAGATTTACAGCCTCAGAAACCCTGTATAGGGTCACTATAAGTCAGAACTGACTCCACGGTACTTAACAACACCAATGATGTCTTATAAAATGGCATCTAATAAATATTTTATTCTTTTGTCTATAAGACACATCTCCATCGTACTACAAAGCAGACATGGAAATGATTGAACTTACTGGTAGAGCAGTGATGATCAATCCAATAGCATTCATCCATGCTGTGATGTTCTCTCTAGGCACTAAAGGCTGACTACAAGTGAAGATGCAAGAAGAAACATGTCAAATGATGAAAATACCTTATATGGGTCACAATAAATATTGTTTTGAGAGCACATATAACTTGGAGGATGACAACTGATCTACTTCAACAAAACTAAAATGAATTTTTACTGATATAAGTCAATAAGTATGGCATGTTTCTATATACTCACACAGACACATACACACGTTAGGTGCCATTGAGTCTGTTCTGACTCATAGTGACCCTGGATGTTGTTGTTGTTAAGTGCCATTAACTCTGTTCTGACTCACAGCAACTGGTGGGTTTGAACTGCTAGCCTCATGGTTAGCAGCCAAGTGCTTACCCTACAGTGCTACACCAGTATTCCATATGTACATCTATATATCTGTATCTAATCTGCATAGTTGTTAGGTGCTGTTGAGTAGATTTTCAACTCAGAGTGACCCCCATGTAAAAAAGTAAAACTATTCCATCAGGTTTCCTAGGCTGTCATTTTTATGGAAACAGATTGTAAATCTTTTATCAGAGGAGCCACTAGGTGGGTTTGAACCAACCTTTCAGTTAGCAGCTGAGTGCTTACTCACTGCCCCACCAGGCCTCCTATACAGAGATGTACAGATGTGTGTGTATTTATAATGTATATGTGTATAATATATACACACACACACACACATATATATACATATAAATAAATATACATATTTATTTGGTTGTCTTCTTTAACAATAGCTGCTGGGCTGAAAAGACGATTTCTACTTCCTTAATCATTATCCTCTACTTTCTGCTGATCTTTACAAGGGGAATCTTGAAAGACTGTCTTTAGTGACAAGTTAACATTTCTAAGTTAAATGTCAAACTACTAATAGAGTAGAAGTGGGAAGAAACCCAAGTCTTGTGACTCTTTCCAGGGCTCATTCCATTACACCTTTATTACCCAAACCAAATTTAGATGCAGAAGACAGTTGCTATGCAATGCACACCATATTGGCCTGGAACATCACCAGATCTAATAGCACCCAAAAAATAAAAAACTAAACCAAAAATTCTGTTTACAAATAACCAATGACTCTTATTTCAAGAAACAAGATACATACCTTTTGAGGACGACATTTAGAAGGGCATTTCCAACATCACTGCCTGAAACAGCCAAGGCCATGAGCTCGACACACGTAACGTGCAGAGCATGGGCAGCTGGGTTGGGAAACTCATTGAATCTCCAGTCACAGTTTGGGAATGGGCCAGGAGACTTACCAGCCATAGGTAAAAACAATTAAAGCAATAACTATTTATTTTGAGATTAACGGCTTATATTTACATAGACCATTATAGTTTTCAAACTATTTTACATGTAAGCATCTGATTTGACAATCAATTTATCTATGATCCTAAAGAAGTGATTTACCAAAGGTCCGAGCAAGTAAGGGACAAATGACCGTATATATATATATATA